TGTCTGCAATGTCAGATTCTGCTGTTCATCGAGAAAAATCATCATATGTATTACATTATATATATTTACACTATATATTTGTGTATATGCTATGTGTGTATATTATCATATATATAAATAACTGTATATAGATTTGCAGTATATATCCAGGAATATACAGAAAACATACCATTTTATCATAAACAATTACTTTTAACCTCCTAGAAGGAGCCAGAATTCCAGAAGATTATCAGTCAACATTTGAATAAAGGAGAATGTGTTTTTCCTCTGTTTTAGAAGGGTTTTTTTTTTCTTTTGGCATCATGCCACTCTGAAACCAAATGAAATCATAAAAAGGAAACTAAAGCTGCATATTTAATAGAAAAAGTGTAAAATGCACTCTAGAAATAGAAAAGATGATCAAGAAATATCAAGATGAAATTTCAGTTGGGAGGGATTCCTAGAGCTAGGTGGGAAATAGAGTGTCTGCCTTTAATTTACGGGGGGAGTTTGCCAGCAATGGCCTTCTGTAATCTGCACCATCTGCATTATTGATTAATGAGGTCAAGGGCAGAATTACTCACTGTTGGTTTCCTCCCAGGAGCCCTGTTCTGGTCTCTTTGCCAGAGTGACTTCTTGGTCTTCCTTGCAGCCAATTTGCAAAGTGCTAAGGAGGTACTGTCCTCCCATAAGTGCCCCCCCCACCGAGTTGGGTGACACCTGCCAACAGATGACAAAGAGGCTCCCGTTTTGATGAAGAGGTGCTAATAAATGTGTTCACGACCAGAGTCTGATGGTTGCTGGCCTCCATCTAGAGATAAAACACCCTTCACCGAGAAGCAAAGGGAACCACTTAGACCCCATGCACCCCAATTTGTGGAAAAGTGAAACATTCAATCACCAAACAATGAGCTGTATTGGTATTTGTTTGTTTGCTTTAACTAAACTAGCTAGAGTAGTTTCCAGTTTATTTCGAGGACTCTCTCCCTCCTGGAATACATCCATACTGTATCCATATCTGTGGTCCTTATGGTAACACCTTTCTGCTTGGATTACTTGGCCTGAATCTCTTTAAAGCAGTATATATTTTAAATTGAGCTGTGGTCACTGCTTTTTTTGTCTCTCACCTGCAATTTTTCCCTCCTTTGTCTACCGTCTCCAAAGTCAAAGAGAAAAGATGATCTCTGTGGGAGGCAATCACAAATGGGTGTCTGCTTTTCATCCCTGCCTGCAGTGAGGCATCTGCCATGGTGTGAGGAGACAGGGGCTTGAGACCCCGGTTTCCTCCTGGTTGAGATCCCAACCCTTCCCACCAGATTGCTGGTCAGCAAGGGTGACAGTGCCCACCTTATTTGGTCACTATAGGATTGAATGAGATAACCCTTCCTGATCCCTGGATTTGCAGAAAGTGTCATGTAAATATTTGCTGTTGTGATGAGTGGCGGTCACAGAAGCGTAAGGTAGAGGTAGACAGGAGGTCATGGTCAGAGCTCCTCAGTGGTGCTTTAATTCCTTCTAGAGTGTGGAAAGTAATTATTCTCTGGTTTGTCTCCTTGTTACTTATCTTCCAGTTCATTGCTTCTATAGAAAAAAGTTGGTTTTGCTCAAGTGTGGGCTCTGAATCTAAAGCTAAATTTGATGATGGTCCAGCGACTGAAAGCTATTCCGGAGGATAAAATAATCACTACTCATCCAGAGTTGGCATGTAGGCTTAATGCAAGGTGTATTTCTTGCAGCAGTAAATCTAAGTGGATAATTTGTATTATACTTTCTTATTTTTTAATTTAATTATACTTTAATTAATTTTTAATATGCACAGAGCTTAAAGAGGAAACCGGTTCTAAAAAGCTTATTATGAAAGACAGCTCTCTACCAGTCCACCAGCACCGTTTCCCATTCTTTTGACGCAATTGTGTTTTTTAAATGACGTGTAGTTGATGCACGATGTTACGTTAGTTTCAGGTGTCCAGCATCAGGATTGGTGGGGCATGTCCTCCAGTAGCTTTTTGAGAAAGGATACATAGGAAGTAAAGGTTTTGAGACAGTTACACTTTTATTTTTATTCTTCTCTCACTCTTAATGAATAGTTTGGTTGGGCACAGAATTTCAGGCTGAAATCATTTTCCTCTCTAATTTTGAAGGTGTCTCTCCATTGTCTTCTAGTTTCCAGCACTTTTGTTCAGAAGTGAAATGTCATTCTGGTTTTGATCCTTTGTATGTAATTCCATTTCTCTCTTTCTGGTCGTTTCTAAGACCTTTTTCTCTGTGCCAGTATTCTGAAAATTCATAATGATATGCTTCAGTGTATATATATATATATATTTTTTTTTTTTGGTCCATTGTGCTGAACACTCAGGAGGCTGTTTTACTCAGAAAAATGCACATCCTTAACTTCTGGGAATTTTTTAAAAATTATTTATTCGACTATTTTCTCTTTCCTGTTTGCTGGAACTTCTGTCTATAAGTGCCAGGTTTCCTGTTTCTGTTAAGGTGAGGGAGGTACAGTCACTGGTCTGCTTGAAGTGAGGGAGATAATTTGTGGATTACATTTTCAAATACTGTTTCAGTGATCCTGTCTTCAGACCCTCCTTCACCCCCACTTCTAGAGCTTTGCCCACTGCCAGCTGAGTGGACCACTGTTCTGCTTTCCAGCATCTGGGATGCCTGGGTGGTTCAGCTGGTTATGCGTCTGCCTTCGGCTCAGATCATGATCCCGGGGTCCTGGGATCAAGTCCCATGTCAAGCTCCTTGCTCAGCAGGGAGTCTGCTTCTCCCTCTGCAGGCCGCTCCCCCTGCTTGTGCTCGCTCATGCACACGCTCTCTCTCCCTCTCTGACAAATAAATAAATAAGATCTTTGATCAGCTCATACATTCTCTTTTCCTTGGGGGTTTATGCCTTGTTAAAAAAAAAAAAGAACCCCTTTACTATTATCTTCTTCTGGTATAACAAGAAAGAGCAAAGGTCATGGTATGTTTCCAGTCTGTTATGTTTAACCAAAAGCCCAAGTGATTTTTTTAAGGAAATTCAGAATTGATGTTTGCCACATGTTTTAAGTCCATTTTCCTAATCATCAGACACTGAATAAATATTCACAACCTTTTATGACCTGCTGGAAAATGGACAGTTCCGGTCCAATGTAAGCTATTCCATAGATAACCACGGATTCTAAGAGCATACAGTACAAGGAGAGAGAATGATAAGAGGGCAAAGAAGACATTCGTCGTGGGGGCGCCTGGGTGGCTCAGTCGTTAAGCGTCTGCCTTCGGCTCAGGTCATGAGCCCAGCGTCCTGGGATTGAGCCCCGCATCGGGCTCCCTGCTCGGCGGGAAGCCTGCTTCTCCCTCTCCCTCTGTTTGCCTCTCTGCCTACTTGTGCTCTCCCTCTCTCTCTCTTTGTCAAATAAATAAATAAATAAAATCTTTAAAAAACAATAATAATACATTCGTTCTAAAGTGATTTCTGTGGCTTGAGCTCTCTTCTTGACAACCCCATCATCCATAACTTAGATCTGCAAATACAAGACCTAATAAGGCAAAATCAGCAACAGAAAAATACCTAAGTGTCCCTATAACAAGTGGAAGAATGTGTTCATAGAAGGAGACCTCATTACTCATTTATGGTTCTATTTAAGTCCTATCTTTCATGTTATTTGAATCCAGAAAGCCTTTTCTGGTTTGACTTTGCCTGATCTTTTCTTTATAGACGGACACAGTCATCAGGGAGAAAAAGGCTCCAAATGTTGTCCTGTCCCCAAATCCCTTTTTCCTATTGTCTTTGGTGCAGCATGTGGCTGTCATTGGCCCAGCCGACAGCTGACATTTGCTGTGTCCTTCACTTATGAGGCCAAGGGCAAAGGCAACTAGGCAGGTCCTGTGGCCGAGGGGTGGTTGACACTTGTCTTGGGAGGCGGGAGGGAGTTGTGGGTGACAGCCAGGAAGCACTTCTGACCCTGTTCTGCAGACTCTTTCACCCTTCTTTTTGAGAGTCTGCCAAAATGGACCCACTCCACAAAGCAAAGAAAAAATAGCAGGTATCCCTCAAAAGGAGATTTGGGAGGGCTTACCAAGGAGAAATGACTTTTCCTCCAGAACAGGGATCTTAACCTGGCGTCTGCAGCTCCCCGCTTGCCAGCTGCCTTTCCTCCCCATGCCCCAACCCTGCTCGTTGCCCTCCTTTGTCTCACCCAGGGGCCTCCTTCTCCTGCAGGAAGTCTGGACACAGCAGGCCAGGGCTGTCATAGCCTCCGGCCGTGTGCCTCCTGGCCTCATCATAGCAGAGCCATCATATCCTTAAAGGGACATTGCCCAACTGCTAAGAATAACATTTTCTCCAGATAAATATGCAAATCAATATTTTAAAAATTCTGACGAAACAAGGAGCCAGTTGCCGACAAGGACAGCCATGTAATAGAGGGGAGAGAAGGGGGCAGCAGACTGGGCTTGTCCCAGCCCCTTGTGAAGGGCAGCGGCTGCCCAGCCCTGGGGCTCATTCCATGAGCTGGAGCTGCAGCAGACGTGAGAGCCTTGACAAGGACACAGGGTAGGTCGCTCCTCCATCCCCTTGGCATGAGGGATGCTAAGGCTGGTAGGTTCCTGGGAGACACAGGTCTTTGATTCCACTTTGCTGAGCCTTCCTCGTGCTGCCCAACAGCCTGGGACATGTCCACCCGAACTTCTATCCCTCCTTCATAGGGGTCAAACCCAAGGTGCAGTTGGGTGGCACTCCTACCTTCCCCCCTGGCTCCCTCCCCGTTTCCTCTCATGAGTGTCTTCCCCTCACAAAACTGTTGCAGGTTTAATCCCATCTTGGAATCTGCCTTTCTCAGAAGATCCGGACTAATATGCCCAAAGACCTTCAGTAAATTCATATTGGCGGGCAGATTGACCGGGACCAGCACAGGAGACAGAAATACTAAGTTGTGTTCTCGGTTTATCATTGGCCAGAGCCATCAGGAGCCATGCTTTCTCCTTTGCACCATCAAATATCCTGTTTCTCACTGTCTTTTGCCCTTTTCCTTCAGGTTGTGGCTCTTTCCTCCTGGTGCCTGCTGAGGGATTCGATCTACTACACGCTGTCTGTGGTGGCGCTCATCGTGGTAAGTGTGTGACGCACCCCTCACTTGAGTCCCCTTGCCATTTGACTCTTAACTCCTCCTTCTCGCCCCTCGGGATTATGTGCAGCTTCTCTGCATGGAGCAAGTTCAAGGTCTCTGGTGACGAATGAGAGAACGGATATCTATGCACGGAGGTGGCTTCTCTTCCAGCTGCTTTGATCACCCAGAACCCCAGAGTGATAGTTTGGTGCTCAGAACAGGAGGGTTGACTCTGGTTAGCTGGTTCCATGAGAGTCATCTGCTGTTTTCCTGTGACCCCCTGACCATTCCCTCGCACTTTCTCACAGGCTCCTCTGGAACTCTCTTCAGCATCAGTGTCTCCGGGTTTGGACCTTACTTCCCCCTCTCCACATGCTCTCCCAGGACAGCGCCCATGGCCATTACCACCTTTGTGGTGGACACATCCATACTGTATTCTTGGCAATGGCATCCCCCTGAGCTCCAGTCACAGAGAAGCCCCTCTCTACTGGACATCTTCCTATCCCAAACTCAGTGTGTCTCTAAACTTACTGTGACTTCCCCAAGACTGGACCCTCTTTCTGTATTTCAACCCCCATTTCTCTCCTAGCCACCCAACCTGCGGATGATATTAAGTTGACCTTTCCCCCAATTCCACTGTCCCAATTTGGCTTCATTGTAGATTTTCATCTTGTAAAAATCTCCCCAGTGTGTCCCTTCATAGCCCATTTTAGTTGAGGCTTTTTATGTCTTTGACCTGAGCTGACACAGTCTGTTGTGGGTCAGTATGACGATGAGAAGCATTGCTGCCACCCATCCCCCCCCTTTTACCCCCAGGTGAGTCCTCAGAGTTGTCCAAGTGGTAGCTCTACAAAGAACATGCTTGTGGCTCCATGTCACCTGTGGGGACGATTCCAAACCCCTCAGCTTGGCAAGCCGAGTCATCCAGGAGAAGGGTGGTGAATCGGAAAGACACTGAAATGGGAGTTAGGACATCTGACTCCTAATCATGGCCCCCTCCCTTCTGGCTAGCTCTAATGACCTTGGAAAAATCAGTCTCCTCAAGTCATAGTTTTCTCACCTACAAAACAGGAATAGATCCACTAAAGTGTTTACTCCCCTATTTACCAAGTACTTGCCTGTTGGTTATTTAATTGTCAATATCTATACAAATAAGTTGAAAGTGATGTTTAATACAAGACTTTCTACAAGGAACCTGTAGATACTTCAGCCAACAGCAGTTCCTGGCAGTGAAGATCTTGGGTGTACAACCACAGTCCCCTCATTCCAGGGGCCATTGATAATCAGAAGGTCAAGACCTGCCCAAGCAGCAGAGCATTCAGATCCACCATGTTGGAACTGAAGACATGCCTCCTCTGTCGAACTTCCGGTTGGTAGACTTAAGAACATGCCTGAATTCTATGTTCTCATTCTCAATTACTACCTGTAGGTATGGTAATGGGTAAGGTATGATCACCCCAAATCTAGAAGACTCTTCTGTTCACAAAGAATTCTCAAACACTTGTTGCAGCGAGCTTTGTCCTGTGATGTGGGAGCCCACGTTGATCACATGCACCATCTGCTCTCCTGCCTTTGGGGTAATTTAGGATGGCTTTGGAAGTTACTGTTTCAAAAGGCATGGCTTAGGGATGGCATAAATGGATGCAACTCTCTGTTTTGCCGAATTCTGGAATGAGATGACCATTCCCAGAAAGAAGAGGTGATGAGGTGGAAGGCAGAGATCTCCCCGGAGCATGGACTCAGCATGTTCACTCCCAACAGTGAATTGCCCACACTGGTTTCTTTCTCTGTTTTCAGCACAGATGCCTCTTGGACTCTGTGTGAAATAACTTGTCTTGGGTCAGATTTATCTGAATATGCCCAGGATTTAAAAAAAAAATGTAATTGTTGCTAATGATGTGTGAGGAAGTAAAGAGTTTTGTTTCTTTGGGCTGCAGGTGATGCTCACCCAAGTGGGGTCTTAGGCAAAGCTGTCCTCTGCCCCATGTGTGGCCCGTGAATCACAGAGCTGAGCCAGCCAGACACCCAGGCTGCCACAGCTCTGTATTTCCCTCAGATGGCAACAAGATGCAAAAGCCAGTGACTCTTTGCTGTTACTTGCAGATTTGGACTGTGTATTTACAGCCTAGCTGTGAAGGCTGGAGTTTTCTGATTTTGAGAAAAATTACATTTCTCCACTGTTAGGAAGTAATGGCAGAGATAAAGCTTGAGTCCTCAGGGTTTGGTCTTGGGTCTTCTTATTTTTACCCATGTTCCGCCAACTTCTGTACGCCCTGGAAACACCCAGCATGCTTATCTAAAAAGTGCAACCCAGAGATCTTAATCCAGTAAGTTCTGGGGTAGGATGCACGAAGTTCCACTTTGGCCAGATCTGCCCTGCCCCTCAGGGGATTCCGATGCACCACACTCACTTCCAGAAACTCAACTGCAAATACAGTTGTACACCATTTCCTTGGGATAGTCACCTGCTGTGTGGTGATGATCGCTTCTGGAGGAAATGTTGAGATTCTCCAACACAAGGCATCATGGCAGCTTGTTTGTCTGGATTGCTGACTGCTATTCATTCTCAGGGTCATTTTCACATGATACCTGAAACCGGGGTGAGGAGTAGAACAGTGTTCCACACAGAAGCACAACATTTAGCGAAGTGCATTTTTCAACGTCCCCAGATCTCAGCATCCCCAGGCTGCTGCTTGTTTTTGTCAGGGTGTTCTATTCTTCTCCTTCTGCATTTTCCCCAAATGTTAAGAAAATCACTTTTCTTCTGGCCTTCCTTATAGAATATTAGGCTTCTTTAATAGGACCCTGCAGTGGGCACTTAAAATTCCTGTATTTAAACACCTTCTTCCTATCCACAAATAATTACTAACCATCCGTACAATTTATTTTAACTATTAGGGTTTTTTTTTTTTTACCCTTTTGCCCCTTTTATGGTTCTGAAATGTTTAGAAGACAGAATTGCCAGTCTCCAGAGGTGATGCAGTAAAGAGCTCATTCACCTAGAGGGCAAGTCCGGACTAAGTGGGTGCATGAGAATCACCTAAGTGGGACCAGATGTCGCTTCTTTGTATATCCCTGTGAGAGCCCCTACAGCCCCTTCAACCCCATGCAGAGGAGCCCCAAGAATGAACCATGGGGCCGGGGGACCCAGAGAACAGGGGAGAGAGCTATGGGAGGGATGCTTATACTGCTGGGCCAGGAGAGTGCGGACAGTCACAATTACCTGGGTCTGAAGCAGGTTTGAGCTGGAGAAGACCGGAGGGCAAACACACACTGAAAACAACAGAGCTTAAGACTGTTAACTTAGAGACAAGAGACTTGTTCCCTTGGGCATTTGGGTTTTACCTACCTTGGCTCTGTTCTATTTTCTGGTGGGTTTGGTGTTATCTTTCAGGGAGAAAGCAGAAGAAATTAGGAACGTGTTACTGTCAAAAGCAGTTAGGATATCAAAAACATGCAGTGTGTGTCTCTCTGCCCTGCCTGCCCCATCAGGCGTCCCCCCTTTAGCCCTGGTGACATCCTGTACAGCGAAGCCTCGGGCCCTGGGGAAGCTGGACGAGGCCCAGCAGACTCACCCCATGACTGGAGTCTCTCTCTGCAAGACAAGTGTCACATTTTAGGTCCTGAAAGCATTCTGGGTTCTTTGCAGGATGTCCTTGTGTGCATCTATCCAGCAGATAGTCTGCACATCCTTACAGACCCTCTTGCTACTTCTCTCCCATTCAAGTGACCCACCCCCGACCGATGTCCACCACCACAGGCAGCTCTGCCTAGCCCTACCCTTTCTCCAAATTCCAGCAGGCCCCACAGCCTCTTTTATTGAAATGTTACTATAATTTACATAATCATGTAATTTACATAAATGCAAATGATTCATTACATCCTCCGTCTAACAGCTGCCCTAAAAAGGAATACTTTATTTTTACTCTCCATCTCTGCTTTGAGATCCGGGATTGAGAGCAGTAAGAGAAGGGAAACCTCCTGGGGGGAGTGGATAGGCCTCGGAGACAGGTTCGGATCGCTGAACTGGCTCACAGATCCAGAGTCAGGAATGCTGCCTACCCCGAGAGGGGCCAGGTGGGCCACTGGCACCAGTTGGGGGCCCTCGGGGCCCCCTGAGCACAGGCACAGTGGCAAGGCCCCTCCGAGGTAACGCTTCCCTCTCTTCCTCCAGGGGGCTGATCGCAGTCCCCCCTCTTGAGTGATTTTGCGGGGACAGAGAGAGACAACTTAGCTGGCCCAGCCACCAGAGGTGGCCTGGGCGACACCATCCAGTTGTGTAGCCACTGGGCACATGTGGCTATTGAGCTCTTGAAATGCAGGGAATGAAACCAAGGAACTGAATTTTAATTTAATTGAAATTTATGTAACCACGTGCAGCTAGTGCACACCATACCAGATAGCACGGTTGTAGACAGCAGATCCATCCAGAGAAAATATATGCACATTCTCACAGGCATCCCCGAGTTTTAACCAGCATAGACTCGGTACTTACTACAGGCCTGGGTACGATCCTGGGTCTGTCCATGAAGAACTTCCAGTTCAATACTCACGACTCTGCCAGCTACCTAATTACATGAGTCCCATTTTATAGATGGCAAAACTGAGGCCCCAGAAATTCAGGGATTTGCCCAGGGTCAGGGAGCCGCAATAGCTCAGGTTTGCCAGAGCAGGTATCTAAAATGGTACATCTCCACCCTCCCCCACCCCCCGGCCCTGGCAAAGAATTCGGATTTTCCCTCCAGTAAAATCTGCCGCTTCATCTTTGAAATCATCCTGATTTACCCTCGCCTGCTGTGCAGTCCACCAGTAGAGAGGCATGCCTCCTGCACTTAACTTCCCATGGTCAGACTGAAGGGAATAGCTTCTGCCTTCCCCCTCCTGATTCCGCTTTCCTTAAGACCGCTGATTGTAAATGATCCAGAATCTTCTCATGTCACCCTATCCATGAGAGAAAGACATCTCACAGTAGTTGATGACTGTCCTTCCCCACCCCCCCACCTTCACGCTGGCCTCCATCCAGGGCCCTGCCCCTCTGGCTCACCACCCTCCCTTCTTGGACCCCTTCCTTGCAGGGAGTTAGCCTCTTCTCTCTGATTCAGCGACATTCATGGTACCCCTTTGTTACATCTCAGCTCTCCTTCTGGGAAAGCGAGAACTAACCACGGTAGCTAGAAGAGTCTCAGAGGGAATGAAGGTGAGAATTTTTTAAGTTCCTTGAACAAGTCAGCTGTGGTCATACAAAGGGTCGCCTGTGTCCTTATCCCTGCCACTCAGAGAAAGAAGGCCGTGCCCTAAAGGCTGCTGGGGTGTACCAGGAAGCTGGGCCTTCCTTGCGCTTGGTCCTGGAGCAGGGACGTGGGTCAGGCAGACGGAGGGATGCACAGAGGACCCTCTTCTCTCTCACAAGGAAAATGACTTGGAAGTTTCAGTTATATGCCTGTGTTTGGTTTCGCACTGCTCAGCAAATATAGCCCTTTGGGTTTGGCAGCTATCCCCCCCTGTACCCTAAATCCATCCCCTTATCTGCTTTCCTTCATCCCGTAACCTGCCTCTTCATATTTATGTGAGGTGACCAGCTCTGCTCAAGCCCTGCTTTGAGGTAGTCCTTATCTCCTACCCTCCTGCAGCCCGCACCACTGTCGTGGGCCGGCTAGAGATCCCAAGGTCGAAATTCCTGTCTAACTTTCAAGTGTAAACCACATTGGTGCTTAACAGCAGCTTTCCAGTGCATTCCATTGGATTCCTCTCCTCAGAAGGAACGCCATCTGCACCCCCAGTCCCCAGAGCTGAGGAAGTCAGAACTCCCATTTGGGCACATCTCATGAGGGAGCCTCCATGCTGTTGAGTGAGAAGTCGGGGGGATGGGGAGGGGGGAGTGCAGTTTCCTTTTCCAGCTAGGGAGGGACGATTTTTGAGGATTTTAGTGTCTTGAAAGAGAATGGTGGTGTTGATTGTCTCCTATTACTTTCGCTGCTTAAAATTCTAATGGTGCCAGTGATTATAACACAAGCTATGGAAATCATAGGTTCTTCAATGCGCCTGCTTCTGCTCCATGGTTGCAGCGTAGAGTAAGCCACTCCATGGACTGACACGCAATGTGGGGACAGCCACCTGCCTCCCTGCTCAGAAGCCAGCCCGGCTGTCTGCTGCCCACACACCAGGGCAACTGCTGGACCGTGTTTTCCCTGCTCTTCCGTCTTGAGCAGGCCACTTCCTTAACAGTTCCCTGGGACGCTTGGGCATCCAGGGATTCACCTGCCTGATGTAAGCCTGTCTCTCTTAGGAGAATTCTAGAGGAGACACCAGGGCTGAAAGCTGGTTTCCATGGTACCCAACTGTTTCTCTGAGGCCTGAAGGAAAAGAGTGGTTTGTTGTTGTTGTTGTTGTTGTATTCAAATTCGCTCCTGTATGTTCACATTTAGCTTGTCTGTGGAACACGTGGAAAGCTTAAGGGTGAAGCCAGAGGGGTAGCTTTGGATGAACCATATTGGAGTCAGAGAGCAGGTCCCCTGACCAGTTGTGTGCAGCAAATCTGGGGCCCAGATACCAGTTAGCACCACCAGCATGTGGTCACAGGGGGCAGCACCAAACACAACCAGCAAAGCCAAAGAGCTACCTTCCCAAGCAAGACTTGTTTTCAGAAACCCAACTGAGATAAGGGCGAGTCAGTTCCAAAGGCCACACAGGAGGTCCCTCAACTGCAGCATGTCCTGGGGTTTGAGTGGTGGCATGAGTTGAGGGACCTGCCTGTCCCCAACTCAGAACGTGTCCTGCCTCCAGAACGTGGGCTGAAGACTCCGTTAGGAAGCCCTATGTCTTGAGGTGTTTACCCTCTTCCCAGGAGGTTTAATGGAGCCTTGAAATGGACTTGATCTGACTTCCTTCCAATCGCCCTCACAGCCTTGGCAGAGTGGACAGGCGGAGGGTAGGACGTGAGCACCACCTAGTGGTTATCAGGTGGAAGTGGGGGCCCAATTTCTTGTTTCTGACAAGTAACTATATAAATGATTTCCGGGGGTTTTCTACCCTATTAAGGCTGCTGTAAGGAGTGGGACAGTTGTTTCGTCTTCTTTTACCCACAGATAGAACATGTAAATAAAGAAGGATATGCAACATTTGTCATAAAATAAAATAAAATAATATCTTAGCAAAGTAACAGATCCGTTCCCTGAAACCATCAGCAACATCAAGTGAGAAAGTCGCCTGTCCTTGTCATTTTAGGACTTTTCAGACCGAGTGATCCCAGCATTCCGTCAGGGTGGTCCAGGAACTAGAAGGAACATTCTGTGAGCAGTGTCGGTTTGCTCATTTTCGGTCTTCTGAGTGGGGGATGATCAGTGGCTCGGCCTCATGCAGGTGCCACCAGCAAGGCCCAGACGCATTCATAACTCACCATCCCCTCCTTTCATGTAGATTTCCTTAAAGGCCTGACTTCTAGTTCCTTTTCTCTATTTCACTGTTCTTCTTTTGAGTCCTCTCATTTTTCCTCCCAGTCCTCTAGAAGAAGAAGTCAGGTAAATTCCAGGCGGTATTTGCTTATTAGCCACCGGGCAGCTGAGGGCTTCTGACTCTGAGTGGTCAGTGAGGGAGCGCCCCTGCGTCAGTTATGTGGAGGCTTCCAGATCATCTGCATTTGTTAAGACTTGTAGGGAGACCATGGGCAGTTGTCTTTGCCCGCCTCCCTCAACACTATTCCCACCCCCGACTTCCCTGGCCACCGCCTCTACCTAAGCTTCAGACTCATGATGTTCTGTCCTTAATTGTGTATCTAGTCCAGACCCCACTATTTCCTGATTTATTGTGTCCTCTGTAAATTCCATTCTCATTTTGGGATCCTTTGCACAGTTCAGCCTATGCTGATTTTTCCCCATTGATATGATCAGTGAAATAATCGCTAAAGACCCATTGATCTGTGCCCCCACCTGTCACTCAGATGGCATAGAATAAGGGCTTCCTGAAAGCTGCTTTTATATTATAGGGTATCACCTGCCTTCCCTGATAGACGAAAATTAAATTGGCGCTTTAATAAAGTCTTTACCAGTATCTCGTGTTCTCTTAAGCGGCCATGAATTGATTGCTCCAGCACGATGCTCAAGACTGATGCTAAATTAACTTCTATTAATAGAAACGTTTTCCACCTTAAATCATTTGTTCTGTTCCCTGATTTCTTGACGATTTTTTTTTAAGCTGGGGATGGTACAAAAGGATCCGTGAATGCCTCCCGGGTGGACTGCATACCATCCAACCTGGATCGTGGGACGGTTTCCTTTATTTCTTTAATTATCTTCCCATTCTGACTTGACATTTTCATCCAAATGTCAACCTGTTGAATCTGATAACAAGAGTCACAAAGCTGCTGAAGCCAACGTCTTCTTCAATGTCTTGTCAGGAAGTGTGAGCTACAAATAAGTGGGTCCCCTTTCCTCTCATCTTCTCTTTGCGGCTTTGGGATAATTGGAGAGAGGTCCTTTCTGGTGCCTTCAGAGCCACACCTGCTCAGCTGTGCGGCTTTCTCGCCATGTCTCACAGCTGCTGCTTATTATCATCTCCAGGGACTGAAGCAATGCCCACGTCTTTGGTTGAGTTTACAATCTCCATGCCATAATGACCCCTTGCACCCAGAGGTTTTTGCCTTGGAGTCTCCAGAGGGCCACGGGCCCCAAAAGAAAAGCGCTAAGAGCTTGTCGTACCCAGAGCAGTCATATCCCATGAAGGAGGAAAGAGCGAGCTATGAAGCAACCCTCAGCTTTCACTTGTTTTCAACAGCGTGCCATCGATGTGTCATGGAAAGAAGACTTAAGAGCCAGGCCTGAGTTCTAGAACCAACTCTGCAGCTAAATGAGCACCCTCAGGAAAATTCCTCATGTTCTCTGTGGCTCCATTTCCCCGTATAAATCAAAGGGCCAGGATGACACCACTTTCCCCCCGAAAGTGAGAAGGGATTTGGGCTCTGGCTTAAGTGGGCAGGGAATGTCAGTTTGGCACTGTTCCGTCTTTCCAGCAGCCTCTGACCCTTGCGAATCTCCTTGAACAAAAGGGCAGGTCTGTGGCCCAGGGCATGGGCAGCCCGCGGTGCCCCGCTGGGGTGTGCAATCACTGTCATCACTGCATTGACTTCCCACCCTCTGCAGAGGGCGGCAAGCGGAGTGGAGTCTCTGATTCTGGGTGTGATGCAGAGTTTTCTTTGAAAGTCAATTCTTTTAAGGAAACAAATAGGTCAACCGAAAGAAAAATATTGAGTACATAGAAATCCGAGGGCTTGCCTAAAAGCTTGAAGGTGCTGTAGAGTGCCCAGAGACATGCAGACGTCTTACAGGTGGCCCCCAAGTGGCTAATGTTTGGAAGCACCTGCCAGGCTCCCCTATCCCCTTCCAGATCTAAAATTCGACAGCGCATCGTGCTCTGCACAGAGGGGTGGTGGTGCTTCTCTGCCCCTCCACCGTTGGACAGAAGTTGCAGAAAGGAAGGGATGACCCTGTGCTTCTCCCCTCCACAGCGTGCCGCCCCAGCCTGCCAACAGCACCTCCTTCCACTAACATTAGCCAGAAACAGAACCAGCACAGAAGGAAGTTTATCTGCAGATTCTTCATGTTGCAGGCCAGCCGCAGCCTGATTCTCGCCAAGCAGGCTATGTTGGGGGGGGACAACGTGCAGTCGTAAAGTGTGTGTGTGTGTGTGTGTGTGCGCGCGCGCGGACCTTGCGTGCACGTGTGTGCGCGTGTCTAATAGTCTGTCCTTTTTATTTTTTCTACAGTTCATTTATGACGAACAAGTTTCCTGGTAAGTGCCTCTTTTTCCCTTCCAGTTTCCCCTGGCTGTGTTGTGGAGCCGAATATATGGAAGACCAGTCAGGGTTTAGAAAGAAAGGGGAATGTCAGGGCAGCTTGGAACAACCAGCACCTCTTGGGACCCCTCTGTGGACCTCAACAAAGACATTAGATTAGCTTTCACAGAGCAGAGACCTTTTCCCCTGGGCTGGGGTGGTGGCCTTCCTTTGGGAGGCTAATATCCCACTGTCTTTGTCACCCAGGTTAGTGACAAACTTAGCTGGCCTCCTGCAGTCAGTCATTTGCTGGGTCCTGGTTAGGATTTGACTGGTCTTTACAAATCGTATCCAGACCGTGTTGGCATATTCCAAATATGCCATGTATGTCTCGGGAACCAGAGATGGAGGCACTTCCGTTATCCTTAACCCATTAAAGTTCTGCCTGACATTTACGACGATCTTAGATCTCTGAAAAATCAGTGACTTTTTTTTTTTTGATAGATACAAAACTTTAGCCAGGTTACGTCTATGGGAACATTTGTGTTTGGGCCAACTATCCAAATCCCCATTTCTCAGGTGGGTTTTGAGCAAGTCAGATATCTTTGGAATAGAAATAGAAATTGGGTGCATTGTGCATTCTTGCTTCGTTTTTCTCAAATATTTGATCTGTAGATATAGAGAAATATGAAATAGCATCTTAGGGATAGTGTGGCAGTGTAGCTAGGTAAGTAGACCAACTTTCGTGGTATTATTTAAAGCTAAGAGTGAGCCTTTGGCAAAATGCGCACTAGCCCTTTGTGGGAGTGACAGCTCTTTGTCTTAGGATCTCTGATTTTCAGAATTTGGGCATGGTAGAGGAACTTGCCCCATTGATGGTAAGTGTAATTCACCATGCCAAGGTATTAAAGTGTAGTTTTGCCAACTCTCTCTCCTCTGTCCAGGAGGGGCAAGGAGGCCACTAGGAGAACTTGCTTTAAGAATCATCATCCATGGGGTGCCTGGGTGGTTCAGTCGTTAAGCATCTGCCTTCGGCTCAGGTCATGATCCCAGGGTCCTGGGATCGAGCCCCGCATCGGGCTCCCTGCTCCGCGGGAAGCCTGCTTCTCCCTCTTCCACTCCCCCTGCTTGTGTTCCCTCTCTCGCTATGTCTCTCTCTGCCAAATAAATTAATTAAAAAAAAAAGAATCATCATCCATATATCAACCCATTAAAAAACAAGAAGGTCTTCTTTGGGAAGCCTGGACCAGCAGGCTAAAAGGGATTAAGATGTCAGGTCAGAGGTCAGGGAGAACCTCTTCATGGGATCTGCCTGGACAAGGTCGCCAAGCAGAGTGGTGACATCTTCCCACCATGTCCTTAGGGATGAAGTGCAGCACAAGAAAACTTACAAAACTGTTCTCACTCCAAATGATGGCATGCCACTGTGTTGCTCAGTGTTGCTGCTCTTAGCTCACAACACTGCCATAAAGACAAGTTATGATTGCAGTCGATCTTGGAAATTTTTCTGCTGTTTTTGCACAGAAAACCTTAAGAAGGGATAGCTATGGTGGTTTACTGTTGGTTTTTCTTAGAGCTCTCTCTTTTCTCTACCTCCCTGGCTTTGCTGATGAAAGCAGGCCTATTTCAGTCCTCAAAATGTCTTTTAGGATCTTTCAGATGGTGTGGATCAAGAAAGGGAGAGACTGTTTCCTCTGCATTCCAAAGGCCAAATCTCCTGTGGATGTTACGAGGTTAGAACCCTGGGTTCTGGGTTAGAACCCTGGGCCTGCACTGAAGGGCTCAGAGTCTGAGGTCCTTGGGCCCTTAGCCTGAGCACTGAGGCTCCCACATGGAGAAGGAGACAGGAAGGCCATGAATGAATGAGTTGCAGATTCCCAAGTATGTTTCATTCCAGCCTGGGCTGGGTTAGAATCCTAACTCATGCACAGGAGTAGCTGCAGGGAAGAACAAGGGGGAGGCTTCAGGGCACCAGGACATCATTCCCAGACTGCTGGCCTGTTATGTAATTATTGTTATTATGTGGATGTGCTGACGGAGGACATTCTTCACATGAGTGAGGCCGAGAGATTAAAGTCTGCACCACTGGCCCATAACTGCTCTGGGACTTCCAGGGATCTCAGCTCCTCATTTAAATGCAAAATATATTGAACTTTAAGGTATTTTTCACTGTCCACCGAAAATACTGGGTATTTTTCATACTCCGCCAACCACAAGCATTTGTTTTGCTGAAAGGGTGTGTCTAGGAGCTGACTTCTCTGATTTCTCCCTTTAACGCCAGATTCTTCAACCTGTGCAATTAAAACACAGCAATACTTCACAAATACCTTTAACAGTGAATTCCATTCCTTGTTGTAGAACATTCCATCATGTCTTAGCGATTTCAAGGGCGGTAACCAAGTCATCCCAAATCCTCAAAAGCAAACTAATTCACTTGTGTATCTTTTGAAACGAGAGTACTCTGTAGGACTAAAGGAGCCTTGTCGAGTACAATACACAGGGGCAAGACTTCCCCATCATCCACAGCTCAGATGCCTTTACCACTCCTGAATCAGCATTCTGCAGCAGATCTCAAGCATCCAGGGAAGGGCAGGCAAAAGGCTTTTACAGCAGAAAACCAGCTCCAGTGGGTTAAAGAAACAGTGGTTTATTTTTCTTACATAACAAGTACCCCAGCTGTTGGTGGTATGATGGCTCCGCATTTCTCTTGGCCTCTCCCTCATGGTCCCAGGAGGCCTGCTGCAGTCCCAAGCATCAAGTTTGGATTGAAGGCAGGAAGGGTGAAACAGGAAGAACACCTTTCCACCTTATATCTCCTTGGTCCCCACCATGGCCAGGTGGGATAGAATTACAACTCTAGACCGATCATTATTTATCCTGGAGATGGACCCACCCTCCTTCAGATCCAGCAGTCCTCATTTGCTGTCTCAACCTTGTAGGCTTCTATTAGCAAACAAAAGGCAGGTGAATATATGTTTGGTGCTTTTCAGTTAGATAACTACCCTAAAGACATTTAAAATAGAAAGCATCAGAGATCCACCAAGTATGAAGGATGTTCAACCTGAATCCATAATGACAGCTCAGCAAGGCCCACAATATTGCCAGAAGGAATTTAGACTATATCTTCAGTGAGTCTGAAGCCCTGACAAGAAAACAAAAGGATCCAGGTTGATATTCTTGTTTCTTCTTTGAACCTCAAGCTGTAACTTTGGGAGAGAAAAGAGAGCCTGGGGACGTGACCTGCAGAATATTTACCTGTGTGGCACTTGGAACCAGCATTGAGTGTTCTGGACCACAGTTAGGAAAGCAGAGCCATGCCCTTTGGGTGAGAATGGGGAGGAACAGGAAATAAGCCTCCCAATACAGGAAAGAACAATCTTTGGCAGGAGAACCAGGGGCCAGTTGAAGGTGGTTTCAAATGGAAGTTTGTGGGAAGGGAAAGAACAAACCCAGATCATGCCACAAGACCAGATCCTTGGAGGACAGTGGATGAGCTGTGGTCAGGAGAGGCAGGTGGAGAAGTGTCCCTGGGTCACAGGGGGAGAGAAGGGGGACAAGAGCTGTATGACTTTAGAGGTCTGCATGTGGAATCTGTCCAGTTCCACCACTGTTTCCTAAACACCTCCTGAATGTGAGGCTCTGTTCCAGAACCAGAAATAGAACACAGAACCAAACTCGGCCCTCACCTTGGGGCTCTCTGGGACTAGAGAGGAGGCAGACAGTAGACATGTAATCACGGGGTCATTTGGAGACACTTATGGCACGGGGAGGGCGGGGGCGGGGGGGCATCCCCGGGACTCTGAAGAGCATTAAGCCAAGACTGGATCAAACACTCAGGCCCTAAAGCAGAGAGGACAGCAGCTGGCTAGTATCAAGGCCTCACAGAGCCTCATGTATTTCCTCTGGAGGAAGCACTGGGTGAGCCCTGAGTCTGGGCGCCCACCAAGCAAACCTGAAATGTCAGCAGAAGCAGAGAACACCCATCTCACAGGCATCCCTGAAATCTAACAAAAGAGAACTTGAACACTGCAATAGAAGGGCTTGTTTTGAGGGGGAAAACAAACAAACAAACAAAAAGGCCTAAAGGAATTAGAGAGTATCCATCTACCTGTTTACAAAGTGCTGGACTTCATTCAGCCTAGCTGAAATATTTCATGATGTGGGTCTGTTTGCTGGTGACCCCTTCCTGAGTCTGTTAAAATGCATCCAAGTTACATGGCATCCCTTTGGATCTCGAGTATCTCTGTCTTCAAAATGAACACTGAATAAGCCTCATTTTTCCCAATTAACTTCATGCCACACATACACTGGTTTCAATAAGGACCATGTTCAAGAGTTGTTTTGCAACTGAAAATGGATTTCTTTTAAAGATTTTATTTATTTATTTATTTATTTATTTATTTATTTATTTGAGAGAGAGCAAGAGAGAGAGTGAGAAACAGCATGAGAGGGGAGAGGGTCAGACGGGGAAGCAGGCTTCCCGCTGAGCAAGGAGCCTGATGTGGGACTCAACCCCGAACTCCGGGATCATGACCTGAGCCGAAGGCAGTCACTGAACCAACTGAGCCACCCAGGCGCCCCTGAAAATGGATTTTAAAGGAAGTCTCACCCTGTGCAGATGAGCTGAGGGCTGCTCTGTGCTGTGGGGAGAGGAGAATAGTGGGCCCCCAGGGAGGGAAGATGAATCAGCTGTCAGGGGATCTGTTCTAAGTCTCTGGAAAATGAGAAATGGGATAGCTGAGGTGGGCGTCAAGTATGAGGAGTGCTGTCAAGTGACTGCCTGAAACAGGCATTAGTAAGCAATGAAAAAATAAATAAACAAGGAGAGCACAGACTGGCCAGCGGTTTAAAGAACATACACAAGGTCATGTGATAGAAAGTGAAGGAGTAGGCAGGGAAGATGTCTTGGAGGAGGTGGCATTTCCACGGGCATTTGCAGGATAAAAGGGGCCAGCCAGGGAGTGAAGGGAAGAGTATTCTTGGCAGGAGGAATAGTGAGTGCAAAGACCCTGTGGAGAAGGAAAGAGCTTCTGGTGTGTGAAAAAGAAGGGAGGCCAGTGTGGTGAAACACAGAGGGGGCACAGACAATTGGACGAAGCGAAAGAACTGGGTTTTACAGAGACAGGGCACCTTTTGTTTTTTCTCCTCAAGTATGTTGGGAAGCAGCTGGAGAGCTTGAAACAGAAGAATGACATGATCCAGTAGCCTCGCGGACACCAGTTCAGAGCTGCCATTCAGGTGGCCTAGTGGGTAGCAGTGGGGAGGGCAGAAGCCAACAATTCAGGAAATATTTTGGACGTGGGGTTCTGAGGGATGTGAGGTGAGGGTCAAGGAGGGCTCCCGACTGATTTCCAGATTTGGAGCTTGACTGGGCAGGGAGTGGTACAGTTGGCTGAGCATGAAGCCGGGAAGTAGGAATTCTGGTTTCTGCTCTGACGTGCATTTAGATGCCACGTGGAGAGACCATGTTGACCTTGGGTATAAGCCCCTGCGCTGGGGAGAGGTGCAGGGTGGAGGTGTCAGCTGGTGTTTACGGCAGGATGATGAGATGACGTCATCTAGGTAAAAAGAGAAGAGGGTCTCATATTTGGAGTTTCACCTGAGGAAACGGAGGAGGCGGAAGGAAGGAGAAGGTAGGGGATGACAGAAGGAAAAGCAGCCGTGCAGCCTCTCAGAAGTCGGGGGAAGAACATGTTGCATGCAGGAGGACAGGTGGTCAGCCTGCAGATGCTGCAGGGAAGTTGAACAGGGTGGCCGAGAACCATCCCTGGGCACGTGCACATGGAGGTGGCTAGTGCCCTGGACCAGTGTGTCAGGGGATGGATGGCTGTGGACGTTAGACTCAAGGAATTTGCCAAGTGAGTGGGAAGTGCTGCGGGGCAGTGCACGCAATGCTTTGAGAAGGTTTGCTGAGAGAGGAGCCAAGAAATGTGGTGGAGGTGGAGAGATTTGGAGCCCCTGACCTCTCTTAGTAGCAGCAAGAGCACTTGTATACCAGATACGCACACACACACAGTTTGCATAGTGATTCTGAACCGATGTGCGGGACTGACTTACTGTGACAGGTGGACCCAGCCTTCCCTCCTACAGCTGTCTCACTGCTTTCCAGCACTTCGGGGTTATAAACACCACTGCAACAAAACCCCTGTGTGCGGCCTTTTTAAATTTGACCACATATTTCCCCAAGGGTCAATTTTTAGACACAGAACTTGAGAAGAAAACAGGAAGGGAAGGCATAACCTAGAATTTCTTCATAGACCATTCTCCAGTAACCTTTTCTCAAAACCAGAATTACTCCCTCAATTCTATAGCTAAAAGGGGAGCTTAAAAAATAAATTCCTTGGTTTTTGAAACTGGAAGTTACTAAAATGAATAAAATAGAAGTATTCAAATTATCCGAAGTTCAAGGTACATTCCAGTGGGTTTATTTTTTACTTTCTCTTGACCATTTTCCACTTGACCATTCTTATCCTTCCTGCTGGCACCTTCCCTGCCCAGGTGTCCTTTCTTCCTCCTTCCCTACCTCTCCCTCCCTCCCTTCCCCTCCCTCTCTATCTCCCCCCTCTCCCTTCCTGTCTCCCTCTCTCTCTCCCTCCCTCTTCCCCCCTTCCTCTCCCAACCTCCTCCTTCCCTCCTTCTCCCTCCGCCCTGCCCCTCCCTCTCTCTGTATGCCTTGTTCCTCCTATCCAGCAATCCGTGGGTCACCCCTGTGAATTCCTCTAGTTTGCTCTTTGTAAATATATCTGAATAGTTTTGCTGAACGATTAAATTGTGGATGGATTCATAAATACAGGCCTATAATCAGCAATATTATGGTAGACTTGTGCTCTCACAGAACTTCTGGGTGAGTGAATAATGGAAGGGAAGGAGCATTTTCCTTTTGGGTAGAAAAGGAAAATAAAGCCCATTGAAAGCTGTGTCTACAGACCAGGAAATACTTGTAACCAGTCTGCACATGTGCCTTGTCCTCGCCCTGCTTACCAGGTGTAGCTGCCCGTCACGTGGTATGGATGTTTAGAGATCGACTGGTATATTGCCCATCTGCCTGTGGTGACTTTCTGTAACTAGCCATTCTTGGTTTTACCCAGGTGGGAGTCTTTAGTCCTCGTACTGATGTATCTCATCTATATCGTCATCATGAAGTAAGTAAAATGCCTTCTCGGTTTTCTTTGCCAAAACTCTTCCTACATCGAGAATGATGGGATAATGTGGAAAGAGGAATGGGGGCAGGGCAGGTAGTGGGCTGGCTTTCAGTGCTGATGATCACAGACTCCTGGGTTCCCTCAGCAACCTGCTGTGCAGCACTGTAAGTTCTGATTCGAAGCAACAGCAAAGACCCTTCAAAACCTCATGTGATAATGGAATCAAAGCTTTAAGGGTTTAATTGGAGAAATCTCTCAAACCCTTGTACCCTTTTTAATACCTAGCAACCAAGCTTTGGGCTGTTTTCACTCTCTTTCGTAACAGGAAAGGAGGTAAAATTCACTAAGTCATGCTTCTATATAGGGTGACAAAGATGGGACCAGAGCTAATTAAGAGATGACTAAAACCATGATCAAATACCTGCAGACTTGCATTAGTCATATCATATTCGTCACCTACCACTGTGTAACAAATGAGCCCAAATGTAGTGTCTTAAAACTACAAGCATGTGTTATCTCATTACAGCTTCTGAGTCAGGCATCCAGGAGCACATAACCAGAGAGTTCTAGCTCGGGGTCTTCCTTGAGATCGTAGTTAAGAGGTTGGCCAGGGTGGCTGTCATCTACTTAACTGGGGCTGCAAAATGACCCATTTGTGCTGTTGGCGAGCTGATGCTGGCTGTTGGCCGGAGCCCTCAGTTTCTCAGCACGTGGGCCTCTCCTTAGGGCTAGTTGAGTGTCTCCACAGCACGAGAGCAAGTGAGTCAAGAGAGAGCACAAGAAGGACCCCCAGTGCCTTTTCTAATCTGGTCTCACAAGTCACATGCTGTCACTTCTGCCATATTCTGTTAATTAGAAGTAAGTCTAGCCCACACTCGTGGGATCTGCTTCACCATTTGAAGGGAGGAGTGTCAAAGAATTTGTGGATATATTTGAAAACCACCACTTCATAGGTTCTTTCCCCCGCCCCCAAGAGTCTGGGAGGCTTACTGTTTGTATCAAGAATTTTATTAGCCAGTATTTCCCATACCCTAAGGCAAAAAGTAAGCACCATGGCTATGAACCTGCTGGTTCATCTTTTTGCCAAGTACCATTGAGATGAGGAGCTTATAAATAATGTAGAGCCATTCCGTGCTGCAGCTGCTGGACCCCATGGGCACTGTTTCTTTCATTCTGAATTAACCCGTACTTTCCCCAGCATTTGTGACTACCTTCTCAGGGGGCAAGAAAGTACCACACAGTCAGAAATTGCCAGTTAGACACATCAGGTAGCAGTCTGGAATTTGACATGTCAAATTGTCTTTGCTGTTAATGACAAAAAATAATTCTGGCCACTAGTGTCTGAGAGACCTATTTTGAGAAATCAGCATGGCCATCAGCAAACATTACACCAACAGTAAAGGTAGGAGCTGGTTCAGCTGATGTCCACTGTGGGCTGTAAGCAGGCTGTGGCCAGTCCACTCAAAATGGCATCCAGCCTTCACCTCAGGAGCTGTCCAATGGTCAGTGTGGACTTGTTACTGGAAGAGGGTATTTCTAGAGTATCCTGGTGTGGGGTTACCATGGGATAACTGATGAAGAAATCAGGTGCTTTTACCACTACTCACCTTCCCTTTAAAAATACCAATTGATGGGCTCCCATGAAAACCAGAGTTGGCCCAAAGGCCTTCCAGAATTTCTACACTCCTAAGGAAAAGCCTTTGAAGGCATGTTGCTCCTCCTTCTCTCAAATAGCAAAACCATTAGGGAATCAGTGCCACTATAGGAAGGTCTCAATAATACATACATCTTCTTTCAGTGTGTTTTAAATTTGATTATTTCAACTTTTTTTTTTGTAATATGTTGAGACCCTAAGTTTGAGTTCCCCAAAAGTCAAGAGCCCTTTTCTTCCCCTTTGAAAGGGTGAATCGGTCAGTTATTCCGGAAGAGTTGACTGAGTGTCTGCTCTATACTCAACACTGGTCTTCGGTTTTGAATCCAAATTTAGAGGAGAGCATGGCCCATAGTGCATTCACTGGGAGCTTCACAGAATAAGGAGGGCTTACACCAGAGTTGGTCCAAAGGGAAGGAAGGTTGAGGAATTTTGCTAGTATGCATCTTGTGACCAATGCACCCCTCTACCAAGCCATCATAAAGCCCATGAGTTGCTGGCAGGGCATGTGGATATTAAGATAACACAGTGAACAATTTCTCTCCTCTCCCCCAAACTATGCCCAACGTGAAAGCTAATGAAGTGTGTTTCTGCTGATGCCTCAACTTTCCCAGCCTTCCAGCTGTTCAAACCAGCAGGATACAAATAAAACAGGGAATGGCAGCTACTGTGCTCACAGAATTTTCTGCATAAATTCTGGTCCCAAGTTCTAAATTGAAATCTCTGCTCTTTAGCCATCCCTGTCCACAATCAGAGGCTTTAATCATGGGGTTTTATAAAATCTGATTTATAAAATTGCATGCTTCACAATAAAAGAGCTTCAGGGTGCAAGCACAAAATTTAAAACATTCAATTAAAAATATAAAACTGAGTAGCAGCAGTTAAAACCCGCATATATTAGAGTTGTCAGCTGCCTCCTGGGTGGATGACTTTAAACATTCTGTCTGAAGGTCAAAAAGCAATTTCAGTTTGGCCAAGTAGATAGAAATCTTAAGGGAACATGAGGCTTACCTGGCCTTGGTGAGGATTGATTTCTGTACGTCTGAGTCCCTTCTTTGGGAGTTAGTCCCCAGGTGAGGCAGTGTAGTCTGGTGGTTGAGATCAAGAGTTGCACGTTCAGCCCTGCCTGGTCACACCTTACAGTCTGCCACTTGCCAACAGTAAGACCTTGTGCCCAGTTATTCTGCCATTTTGAATCTCTGTTTCCTCTCTTAAAAACAGGGTTCCTAATGCCTCCTACCACAAAGGTTGTTTGTAAGCATGAAATGGGACAGCATAGTTAAGTTACTAACTAGTATCTGATTTCAAGAAAGGTCTCATAATAAGACTAGACATAGTGTTATTACCTTGTTATCCAAATCCAAATAAATGTGTAACGCACGGTTGTACTTTCAAGGCAAAGCCTCATGCAAGTCGGTATTTCTATGGGGAAATGGATTTTGAGTCAAGATGACAGGAATTCTGCCTCTCCCCCATAGCTCTATCAGTAAGGCAAGACATTCTTCTTCAGTCTAGAAAGTGGGGAGACTTTTTCATTAAGAAGAATTTGAATATTTACAAAAGCCAGCAGAATGGTATGACAGCCCCCCACGCTCATCATCAGCCTGACAGCCACAAGACCACACCCCTATCCATTTCCTTCCTTCCATGTGGTGTGAAGCCCCAGACAGCATGCCAATTCATCTATAAAAACCTCAGGATATGCCTCTAAAAGGACTCACCTTTCACATAACCACCGCATGATAATCGCACCCAAGATTAATGCTATTTCTTCAATATAATTAAATATCAAATCGGTGTTCAAACTTTCAATGATCTCATGAATGCTCTTTTTTACAGTTTTCTTTTAATCTCCTAAATATTTTTAAAATCAGAATCCAAATAAATCCCACTCATTATCATTGGTTGCTCCAACTTTTAATCTATGAATCCCCCCTCTGGTTTTCTTTTTCCTTGCAATTTATTCTTTGATGAAGTTGGATTATTAGCTACACAGTTTCCTACAGTTTGGAAATTGTTGATTACATCCTGTACCATGGTGTGGCCTGTTCCTTTGACCTCCATGTTTCCTGAATGCCAGCCATCAGTCCAGTTCAGGGTAGACTGTGTCCCAAGTGGTGGTGAGTTCTGCCACCAACAGGCACATTAATGTCTCTTGTCTCTCTGTGATGTTGGCAGTCATCGATGCACAAGATCTGGCTCCATTATTTCTTTAGGGTTGCAAAATAGTGATGTTCTGGTTCTGTTCTCCCTCTCAGTATAAAGCCTGAGAGTGCCCCAGACTGCCCCAGGACTGGCCTACCCACTTCCCTTCTCACAGAAACCATCATCACTTTTGACTAGTTTTCTGTTCTCCCTCATGCCATGGAGGATGAACCGTAAGCTCCCAGGGAGTACAGGAAGGGACTGTCCAACCACAGAAGGTCCCTCCATCTGTACCATGATGGCCCACCCACCCAGAGCTGCTCTGACTGAAGAACAGGCATTGGTTACAGTGAAGAAGACTCCAGAGAGTCTGTAGCAGTAAAGGGGATGTGGAAGAGAAGCCTGTGTGGGGAAATGCAGCTTGAGTGGCCTACCAGCTGGCCATTTAGAGCTGCCATGACTGGCTGCAGTTCCTCTGGGAGGCCAGAGATCAATCCGGGGAACACCTCAATGGGTTATCCCATGGCCAATAAGCCACCGAGGCCTTTAGGTGTTCGAGTGGTGCAAAAAGCAGCAGTGACTTCCAAAGCCCTGGAAACTACCTGGCTGACTTTCCCCAAGAGTTTTCTAGGATTCCTCTTTGGGGGTCTTCCAGTATTAAAGATAAAGGGACCAGAACATTTAGATGCCAAAAGCATGCTAGGAATTTATATAAGCTTCTTCCCTTCCAACACACATGTAAGAAGGACTATACAATGTTTTCACCCAGTTATTCTGGACAATCATAGCCCAGAATTTTTTCCTGAAGCCAATAGCCCACTGGACCTGGAATTATGGCCCAGCATGTACAGAGATTCACAGGACCCCAACCTGTGATCTTAAAAAACCAAACACAGAGACCTAGAGTGCCAGCCAGCCTGTAGCTTGCAGACCATGATGCACTGTGACACCTGCTCCTTCCCCCACCCAGGAGGCCCCTGACAGCAAAGGTCCTGGAGCCATGACTTTGCCCATCCTGCTGAGTCTCATCATGGCCCTTCCATGCACGTACTGCAGGCAAGGGAACTCAATCCCAGGATGCCGCCACTGACCTTGAAAAGTTGCAAAGAAAGCAGTGTGTCTCTATTTACTTACGTGATGTTGGTTTTATTTTCACTTACCATATATCCTGAAATCGGAAAATAGGACAGATTGCATTTTTCTATGGGGACATGGAAGACAGAATAATAATAATGATAACTTGAGGCACGGGATCCCCCACAATGCACCTAGACTGAGAGCTGCAGGGCACACACAGCTGATGGACTCCTTCTGCTTGTTACTTTGTTCAGATATAACGCTTGCATCCATCAGTGCTTTGAAAGAAGGACAAAAGGTGCTGGAAACATGGTCAATGGCTTGGCCAACAATGCTGAAATTGATGACAGCAGCAACTGCGACGCAACTGTGGTGCTACTCAAGAAAGGTACCTATGGACAACCTGGGTCCCTGGAGGGAGCACTGGGAGGCTGCCTGGCTTTCCACTGTCACGGCCACCCCTGGGGTGCCGCAGCTGGTCTGGCGGGAGGTTGTCTGCACCAGAGGAGACCAAGGGAGAGAAGCTTCCAGGCCTCCCTGCCTCCCTTTGGCTATATCCTGGGGCAGTCATACCTGGTGATGAGCCACCTGGGAAAGCTTCGTGGGAGTTCTTGGGCAAAATATTTGCTGGCAGTGACATGGGGGGTTTAGGACAGGATGTTAAAGGAGACAAGACCAGGGGTCTTGAGGTATTGACTCTGCCATATTTTGGCTATGTTACCATGAAGCAAATTAACGGAACCTCTGTGAGCTCAATTTTCTCTTCTGCAAAATGGGGATAATTATTGTAATGAGTAAAGGAAATAAAGTATGTAAAATACCCCATTAATGATAGTTGCTGTTAGTATATTATTATATCCACATTCATTTTCAGGCTACATTACCTCCATTTCCAAGCTGCAAAATAACATAGAAAATTACCGCCTCTCTTTTTTTCCCAAAGTAATTCTTATATTCAATACATTCTCATTAAGCAGTTGATACACTAAGAGATCTAAGATAGTGCTCCCTAACAAAGAATATTCTTTCTTAGAGGAACACAGAAAATTATCATTTACTTTTGCCTTAGAATGTGTTTGGTTTTTCAATTGCTTTTAACCTTCTCTAAAAATGTGTGGGTTTATTTCTTCTTGGTCTCATATGGTTGCTTTGCAGGAAAAACACAAAAGAACTTTGAAAATCTATAGGTTATTCAAATCTGAGTTTGAAATCTGAGGTAATTATTAGAATGTGAAGATCGATTATTTGATACATTTTTCTAGTTATGTTTAACAAAAGACTTGATTATTCAGTGCCATCCCATATAAGGATTTCCTTGAATCTCTTCTCTTTTGGATAGTTTATAACCATAAAAGGAATACTCTTCGGGAACCAAAAAGAGGTACCTCATATTACTCAGTGTTTCCAGAGATCATTTCATGGTTTAGTGGCTTGGAAAACAGGGGTGACCACCAGGAGAGCGTGTGGCCAGGTACCTATGAGCTGTGTGCTCATATCACATTTTTGTAGAGAGGGGCCTTAGACCTTATTAATCAGGCCTTCCAGCAAATGTTGTGTAACAGTTTGGGCCACTCTGGACCTTGGGCCTCTGTCACGTGGCCAGTTCACCAACCCACCCCTTTGTCAGCCTTACTTATAGGCTGGGCTGCGGCAATGTGCGCTTTCCCCCACTAAGCCCTCCACTGGGCACTAAAGTCATTTCTGCAGCTTTTAACAGCTCAGAACTTTGAACGTTGTTGACATTTGAAAGGCATAAAGGGTTACTAAGATTACTGGGGTCTTTCCTGTGCCCCAGGTCTGAGTGGTGCGAAAAAAGTCCTTTGAGGACACAGAGGAATTCTCTTAGGTTATCACTCTTTCTTACCACGCCAGTGAATGATGCTCATATTGTTTCAAGTCATATCAAAAGAGCTATCTATCAATGAGCCTCAAGGAAAGAAGAGTTTGACCCTTCTCCATATTTTGCTCACTACAACCCTCCTTGGATGGATGGATGGATGGATGGATGGATGGATGGATGGATG